TCATCCAATTGTAAGTATAATAATCTTTTAAATTTAAAATAATTATAAATTTGCATTCTTATTTAATAGTCATTAGATATGTCATGAAAATCCTCCATTACATACATGGAATGGAATGAGGATCAAAGTCCTCTCTTACATAAGCTATATATAGCTAAACATGACAATTTAAAAACATTAAATGCAAATACAACAAGCCAATTTCCATTTAAATTTTTTAACCTCCATGCCAGCCATTCTTAAACCCATATTTATAGCATTCCTACTCCTACTCCTAGCTAGGCTAGTGCAATGAGGCTTATTCACAATGGTATTCACTACTCGAATGAATACTTCATTACTCGAGCGTTGAGCACTTTGTCAATTTTTTATGTTAAATCCTTGTACAATTTATTTTTCATTTCCTCTGGAAGTCCTTTTCAAGTGGTTACAAGGCTGTGGAGTAGAATTGCTCCATTGAAAGTTAATGTATTTGGGTGGTTAGCTTTGGCACAATATAACCTCTACTACTTGTGATGTGTTGTCTTTTCTACCTTTTCCATTTGATTGGCTCAAAGCTGTTAAAGGATAATCCAAAGATGATGTGATCTAGAAATTTAAAAAATTATCAGAATTTTAGGATTACACTCAATAATAAACAAATACATATATATCATTAAAAATTTTAAACTATGAGAAAAACAGAGAGAGAAAAAAAATTAATCTTATGCAACTCAAAGATTAATGTAAAACATATATTTCCAACAAAAACTTATCATGTTCTAGTAGTAGATCAGAAGTTGCAGTTTCCAACAGTTTTTTCACATTATTATCAGTAAGGGTGCACAAAATACCCAGAAAACCCGAGAACCAAAGGGTCTGGTCAGGTTAGTTTGGTTTTTTTAATACATTGCTTGGAAGATCCCATCATCATTTTTATTTTTTGGTGTTTGGCTAAACATTAAAAGGTAAAATAAAAATAACAAAAGTTTTCCATTGACACATTTTATCGAACATTTAACACGCAAGGAAAATGGTACAATAAGAATCACAATATCAACAAGCTATTCCAACAAAAAAAAATCCATAAAAAAATTTATGTCAGTACGAAAAGAATCAATCAACGAACTACTCATTAGGAAATACTACAAAATCGAACTTCGAAATCACAATCCCGAGATGAATCACTGACCTGAAGAAGAATCGAAGAAGAATCACTGAGTAAGAGACTAAAGAAGAATCGATCCAGATTTGGAGAAACAGATTCGATTCTCTGCGAGAAAGAGAGAGCAAGAGAGTGAGTGAGACAGGATTCAATCGTCTAGACGGCGGTGCTAAAAATAGGGTTTTCAAAATAAAGGTTTGGAGAGACAGAAGTGGCCGTGAAGAGAGACCGGATTTGAAGGCGCTTTTCAAACGTCTTCCACTCCCAAAACGGTACCGTTTTAATTTATAACAAATGTGACGTTTAAAAAACGCCGTTAATTGCTAAAAAAAGTGACGTTTACTTAAATGCCGTTAAATGAACGCCATTAAATCCCTAATTTCCTGTAGTGACTATTGCTTGAACAAATCTCGGGCCGGACTGAATTGGAGTCGAATTTACATTTAAGAGAATATGCCTTCGTTTGGCATCTTAATTTGGGGTTAAAATAGTCACAAAATAATAAAATAGATTAAAAAGTTAATAAAACAAAATATCACATCCAAATTATAATTATTTTATTTTTTCTTTTACAAAAATCAAAAAAGCCAAAAAAATCAATTCCAAACGAGACTTTTTAACTTAGGTTAAAATAACCAAAAAATCAACCCGCATTTCAAACGAACCCTATATGTCATTAGGTTTGATTTATATCTCTAATCTATTCGTCTCAAGTTTAGTTTTAAAAAAAATTTAAATCTCATGTCCGACCACTTAACCAAATAAATATAAACTATTACCTTTTAATTTATTTATTTTTCCATCTTGAATGGATATTGAATTATTTAAATTCTTTTGTTTATTATTTAAATTGAAAAGTTAACAAAATTCAATGGTAAAATAAATATAATTTTTAACAAACATTTTAATTTAAACCCTATAATGAAAAAGTGTATATATATTTTGTCTATATATTTTTCAACTTTATTTTATAAATGAGTGAGTCAGGCTGGGCTAACTTTATATTTTGTCTATGTTTGTTTAGGTTTTTTTGAGCTAACTTATAACTTTTAACGTAGAAGAAGTTATTTTGGATTGTTTGGTTAAACTTAAAGGATGGTTTGGGATATCCTAAATAAGTGTATTTTTTGACTTTTTATAAAAAGATGTGTAGAAAAGTAGAGAGGAGATATTGATTGATGTGACCCAAAAAAGATAAAAAGATGAACTAAAATAGGTTATGCCAAACCACCCCTTATTTCAAACAGGTTCTGATTCTAACAACTTATTTTAACTCAAAAAAACTGATTCTAAAAAGCTGCTCATTCCTTACTTTTGATTATCAGTTTCTGCTATGAACATGTTAATTTACGGTTATACTTTTAGATTTTTTTATTTTTATTTTTTTAAAATAGAAAAAGACTCAAATGGACTATAGATTATTATTATTATTATTATTTATGAGAAATGCAAACAGATAGTGAATAACAAAAAATAAAAATTAATTGAAAAAATTACTTCACAGCTTATTTAACAAACACTACTCAGCAACTTAAATCTATCATCTAACAGTTACACCAAACAGATTAACAGCTTCTGATTAAAATTATAATTTATAATCTGTTAAGTTATAATTTATAATCTGTTTTAACAGTTACACCAAACAAGGCCATTGAACCGGACTGGGCAAGTTAGGTGGGTTAACCGGTCAATGGTCATCCCTATCCCACACCACATTCTCAATATATATATATATATATATATCATATGCACTTTCATCGGGTCCAACAATGACATTTTTGAGACCCAAAATGAACTCTCAATAGGAAACCTTTCACATTTAAAAAAAAATTACGTATTCATTTTTTTTAATTTTTATTTTTACAATGCTTACAAAAAGGTTACTTTCATAGATAACTATTAGATTTTGCTTAAATATATATATATATATATATATATGTATATGTATATATCAAAGTTAAAAACAAGATTATCAAAATAATCTGAACTCAAAACAAAAAATGAACAAACAAAATACCAATTAAAAATCACTATTCTTACATTTTTAACGGCAAAATTGCTAATCAAACTTACACGGTCCATATCAACTATATATTAATTTTGAACATTCACCAAATTTTGTCAGGGCCTTTCAAATTTAGGTATTTTTTTATGAACTAATATAATAACTATTAAAAAAAATTGGAACCCTTTTTTTTGATAATTTTTTGGTGGCCAAAGCGGGCCTGACTTTCATTAATAAATCTGAATTATAAATTAATAATCATATTTGGTGATAATCAAAGTCATTACAGTGGATTATAATCAATTTCATTTAGAATATAACCAAACACCACAATTCATAAATCAACAATGATTTAAACTATAATTTGCATATGATAAGCATTGTGTATTGCGTGTAACATGACCATATAATTGACATGGAATTCCACTAGTCATGTTTCTCACAAAATAAAGCTTTTGTTGCAGAAAACTGACCCAGAATTGTATAGTGTGATTGGAATTCAATAGATGTTTTGTAGAGTTCATGTACAAAATAAATTCAAATCATATATTGATAATTCTGAATAAAAATTCAAATAGAAAATTTGGCCTCTTTTAGGTAGAGGGTTAAGAGCTATTTTAATCTGTTTTGAGTCATATCAGTTCTCTACTTTTTTACACATTTTTTTAAAAAAAAAAATCAAAAAAAAATTGAAAAAAATGCCAAAAAAAAATTAACTTTGAACCAACGAGGCCTAACTTCCCATAGTATTATTGTATTTATTACCCTCCTACCCCAACACATGTTACCCGTGTGTGTGAAGTCAAGCTCGTGAAAAATGAAATCAATAAAGCAGACCTGGGCGTTCGACATAATGATTAAAAAAAAAAAAAAAATTTTTGCTAAACAAGTTAAAAAGTTAATAAATTATTTATTATCAGTTATAAAAGTCAGATGTCACATAAATTTTTTTTATTTGTAAAAAAATTAGTGTGTTTAGTTTTAATTTTCTGAATTTAGTTTTTTGAAAATTGAGTTTTTTATTTTTCTTATTTTTTTTAATTTGAGTAAATATTTTTAAAATTTAGGCAATTTTTTTTACTTTTTTCGATGCACTTTACTTAAATGCATCTAAATAGTTAAATATTTGTGAAACAATATTTTAAAAAATTAACAAATATACAAAAATATGAAAAATGTATTGAATTTTTATCTATATATGTTTTGTATTTTTTATATTTAGTGAATTTTTTAAATATTTTTTTCACAAATATTATCTTTTTTAAGTGTATTTTTGTTGGGTGTGCCTAAAAATTAAAAAAAAAATTGCTTAAAATATTTTAAAAATTCAGTAAAAACAAAAAAATACGGAAAATGAAAAAGTAGATTTTTTTGAAAAGTGAATTCTGACAACTGAAACTAAACTGAGTGAATAATTTTTTTAGCAACTTTTCAAACACATTAATTTTTTTTTAAACTTTTAAAATGATAAAAAAACCACAAAAAATCAATTAATCTAAAACATGCACAACCAGGAGCAAGTATGAATTGTCTCACATCATTATTTTTTTTCAACCCCCTAGTTTACGTTGTAGAATAGAATAGGAATTTGAGGAAGTGACACAAGTCACCAAATGACTAGGAGGTCTATTTCCATGATTTTGTAATCTATTTTATAGACAAAGATCTTTGGCATATCCAATCCAACACTCAAAATCTTGTCTATAAAAAGCTCCATGTTAGCATTGTCTTTCTTTCATCCAAGAGTGCTTAGAGAAATCAAGTTAACTGAATATGGGTTCCTCTTTGCATCTCTTTCTGTTCATGCATTTACTCTTCTTATCACTCTCTCGCTTTCATCTTATAATAATAATGGCTAGCTCTTTGTCTGCTGAGCAGCCACTATGCCATGCACACGAGAGCTCCGCCCTGTTGCAATTCAAGCAAACCTTTTCAATTGACAAATCCGCTTCTAGTGATCCTTCTTCTAATCCCAAGGTTGCATCATGGAAGCTCCAAGGAGAGAGTGGCGATTGCTGCTCATGGGATGGCGTCGAATGCGATGAGGATACGGGTCATGTGATTGGCCTTGACCTCAGCAGCAGTTTCCTCCACGGTTCTATCAATTCAAGCAGCAGCCTCTTCAGCCTAGTTCACCTTCAGCGACTTAACCTTGCTAATAATGATTTCGATTACTCTCACATTCCAACAGAAATTAGCCATCTCTCGGAACTAATAAGTCTCAACCTTTCCTCCTCTGTATTTTCCGGTCAAATCCCTTTGGAAATCTCAAAATTATCCAAATTGGTTTCCATTGATCTTTCTTACAATGAGGAATCATCATTTGGACTACTGAAACTTGAAAAGCTTGGTCTCAGAAGCCCACTTCAAAACTTGACTAACCTCAAAGTGCTTCTTCTCAATTACGTGAGCATATCTTCTGAAGTACTTGATACATTGGCCAACTTAACTTCCTTGACAACTCTCGTTCTTGAAAATTGTGGGTTGCGTGGTGAGTTTCCAATAAGCATATTTTACCTACCAAACCTTCAAGTTCTTGATGTAAGTTCCAATAGATATCTCACTGGCCATTTGCCCGAATTTCACCCAAGTAGCCCCCTTCAGCAGTTGATGCTTTCTGAGACTAGTTTTTCGGGGAAGCTACCGGATTCGATTGGAAATCTTAATTTCTTGAATCATTTAGATTTCTTTGGCTGCTATTTCTCAGGGTCCCTTCCAGCTTCACTCGGTAATTTGACCCAACTCAATTACGTGTCGCTTTCATCCAACAAATTTAATGTAGGGACCCTACAATTGCTTGGTAAGCTAACTGAACTCACTCAGTTGGGCCTTAGTGACCTCAATCTATACGGTTCGATCCCATCAGTTCTTTCAAACCTAACTCAACTTACTTATTTATTCCTGTCCTCCAATCACCTAAGTGGTGAAATACCATCTCATATAACCAACCTAACCCATCTAATTTGGCTAGATCTTTCAATTAATCAATTGCGAAGCCCAACCCCAAGGTCATTCTCTGAGCTAAAGAATCTTGAAATTCTAGATCTTTCTTTCAATAACCTCGGTGGCTTGGAACTTGAAATTTTTCTGATGCTCAAAAATCTTACCGATCTCTGTTTGTCTGGTAACAAATTAACAGTTCTAACCAAAAAAACTTCAAATAACAGTCTTAAAAAATTAAAGATGTTAGAGTTAAATTCATGCAACTTGAGGGAATTCCCAAATTTCTTGCGCTTCCAAGACAAACTAGAAGTTTTATCTCTTTCTGAAAACAAAATTCATGGCGAAATTCCGGCATGGATGTTGAATATAAGTGTAAATATATATCTTCGGAATAACTCTCTAACAGGCTTTGAGCAACATCCAGATATCCTTCCATGGGATAATTTACTCGAGTTAGACCTTTCTTATAACAAGCTACAAGGACCACTGCCAATTCCACCATTATCCACCCGCTTTTATATTGTCTCACACAGTGGATTGACAGGAGAACTTCCACCATTGATCTGTCGATTGAGTTCTCTTCATTTTCTTGATTTGTCTAACAACAACTTGACTGGAACTATTCTTCCATGTTTGAGTAACTTCAGTGATTCTTTGAAAGTTGCGTGGTGAGTTTCCAATAAGCATATTTTATCTACCAAACCTTCAAGTTCTTGATGTAAGTTTCAATGGACATCTCACTGGCCATTTGCCCGAATTTCATCCAAGTAGCCCCCTTCTGCATTTGATGCTTTCTTACACCAGCTTTTCGGGGAAGCTACCGGATTCGATTGGAAATCTTAATTTCTTGAATCAATTAGATTTCTCTGGCTGCTATTTCTCAGGGTCCCTTCCAGCTTCACTCGGTAATTTGACCCAACTCAATTACGTGTCGCTTTCATTCAACAAATTTAATGTAGGGACCCTACAATTGCTTGGTAAGCTAACTGAACTCACTCACTTGGACCTTAGTGGCCTCAATCTATACAGTTCGATCCCATCAGTTCTTTCAAACCTAACTCAACTTACTCATTTATACCTGTCCTCCAATCACCTAAGTCGTGAAATAACTTCTCATATAACCAACCTAACCCTTCATATAACACTCTTAACAAATTAAAGATGTTATGGTTTGATTCGTGCAACTTGACGGAATTCCCAAATTTCTTGCGCTTCCAAGACAAACTTGATGTTCTATCTCTTGGTGAAAACAAAATTCATGGGGAAATTCCGGCATGGATGTTGAATATAAGTGTAAATATATATCTTTGGAATAACTCTCTAACAGGCTTTGAGCAACATCCAGATATCCTTCCATGGGATAATTTACTCGAGTTAGACCTTTCTTATAACAAGCTACAAGGACCACTGCCAATTCCACCATTATCCACCCGCTTTTATAGTGTCTCACACAATGGATTGACAGGAGAACTTCCACCATTGATCTGTCGATTGAGTTCTCTTTATGTTCTTGATTTGTCTAATAACAACTTGACTGGAACTATTCCTCCATGTTTGACTAACTTCAGTGATTCTTTGACAGTTCTAAATCTCCAAGGCAACAACTTTCAGGGTCCCATTCCTCACTCATACAATAGAGGAAACAAATTGAAGATGATTGACTTGAGTGATAATAAATTACAGGGGAAGGTGCCAGGATCATTGGCAAATTGTACCGAGCTTGAGTTTCTTGATCTCTCAAATAATCTGATTGACGATGCATTCCCCTTGTGGTTAGGAGATCTTACAAAGTTACAGGTTCTCATCTTGTGATCCAACAAATTCTATGGTGCAATAGAGAATCCCAAAATTAAGTTGGAGCTACCAAATTTGCACATCATTGACCTCTCTCATAATGGCTTTACAGGTGCCATCAAAATACTTTCAAAATTGGAATGCAATGAAATTTTTTGATGTCGACAAGATGAATTATATGAACACAATCATTGAAGGACGCGGGATCAATGCCAGTTATTTTTATTTCTATTGGTACACAATGAACATTACAAACAAAGGTGTAAATACAGAATATCAGGAGATCCAGAATATCTTCGCTGTCATTGATCTCTCAAGCAACAAATTTGAAGGGGTGATTCCAGAATTTATTGGAAACCTTAAGGGGCTTAAGCAGCTCAACCTTTCCAACAATAACCGTAATGGTGGAATCCCATCATGCTTGGGGAACCTAACAAACCTTGAATCTTTGGACCTTTCTCAAAACAAGCTCTCGGGAGAAATCCCGCAACAACTAGCACTTCTCACTTTCCTTGAATTTTTAAATGTCTCAAATAACCATCTCACTGGACCCATTCCACATGGGCAGCAATTCAACACATTTGAGAACAATTCCTACGAGGGGAATTCAGGATTGTGCGGAGACCCTTTATCAAGGAAATGTGGAAAGTTAGAGGCACCACCACCATTGAACTCGGAACAAGATAATGATTCAGCGTTCCCAAGTAAAGTTGATTGGAATTTCATATGCACGGGATATGTGAGTGGGATAGTAGTCGGGATGGTTATTGGGCACACAATAACCACAAGGTATCACGAATGGTTCATCGAGAATTTTGGAAGGAAACAGCGCAAGCTGAGAAGGGAGAAAAGGAGGGGACATGGAAATTGAAGTTGATTAGGCATTTGCTTCACCAGTTATTTCCTTTGGGGTACGTTTCTAGGGTGATGCTATGGTACATTTAGATGTACCATACATTTAGTTATGAACTTATATGATTTTATGTCATAACCAATATCATATTAGTCATAATTACTATCATATTAAGTCATAACTTAGTTATATTCAGTTACTTATTTATACCATATTATCTCATAACCAGATCATAACTAAATTACTTAAATAGTTGAACTCTCAAATAGGCAACCGGCTACACCGGTTAGAATGGGAAACAAAATTCAATCAGTCGTGTTTGGCCCTCTTGTTGGCTCTTCTCCTCCCTCTTCTCTTCCGCCATAGCTGAAGCTTCTAAGGGCCACCAGCCTCGTCGGCGATCTGAGCTTCAGCCATGTCGACATCTTCTTCGCAAGCTCTTACTCTCTGGACGTCTCCACCATGGGTTTGTTCTAGTTGTTCTTCATCAATCGCAATGATCTCTGTTCTTCATTGATCTCGAGGCTAATCGAACTCGAACTCAATCTCTCTCGCTATTAGCTCTCATCTTGAGTTTGCAAATCGCAAATCCGAAATCGAGTTTGAATCAGATCAGATCTATCTTGCTCTTTATCTCAGGTACATTTTTCAGAAAATTAAAAAAATTCATGTATTGTCTTTCATATATTTTTTTCTTAGATTTCATTTGCTAATAAATGAAAAATATATATATATATATATGGTGGTTGCAAAAAAACAAATTTGTTAGATTTCATTTGAGTTGTAAACTAGTTTATATTCAGATTTTGAAGCTCGTTTAGTGTACATTTTCCTGTGGTGCTGTAATCGAAAGTTATATTTGAATTGTTGTCCTCTTGATCTGATCAACAGTTGGATTTGATATGTTATACAGAGAGTTTTTGTAAGTAATTTTATTGTCTGATTGCTTTGCAATTGTTAGATTGGTGATTGATTGCTCTATTATATTGGATGAGATGCAGAAAGAAAGCCAGCTATACAATTATCAATCAAGAAAGCTAGATAGCTATATCATTAACAAATTAACAATATTATATTAACAATATTCTTGATTTGTCTAATAACAACTTGACTGGAACTATTCCTCCATGTTTGACTAACTTCAGTGATTCTTTGAAAGTTCTAAATCTCCAAGGCAACAACTTTCAGGGTCCCATTCCTCACTCATACAATAGAGGAAACAAATTGAAGATGATTGACTTGAGTGATAATAAATTACAGGGGAAGGTGCCAGGATCATTGGCAAATTGTACCGAGCTTGAGTTTCTTGATCTCTCAAATAATCTGATTGACGATGCATTCCCCTTGTGGTTAGGAGATCTTACAAAGTTACAGGTTCTCATCTTGCGATCCAACAAATTCTATGGTGCAATAGAGAATCCCAAAATTAAGTTGGAGCTACCAAATTTGCACATCATTGACCTCTCTCATAATGGCTTTACAGGTAATTTGCCATCAAAATACTTTCAAAATTGGAATGCAATGAAATTTTTTGATGTCGACAAGATGAATTATATGGACACAATCATTGAAGGACGCGGGATCAATGCCAGTTGGAGTTATGACTATTTGTACACAATGAACATTACAAACAAAGGTGTAAATACAGAATATCAGGAGATCCAGAATATCTTCGCTGCCATTGATCTCTCAATCAACAAATTTGAAGGGGTGATTCCAGAATTTATTGGAAACCTTAAGGGGCTTCAATTGCTCAACCTTTCCAACAATAACCTTAATGGTGGAATCCCATCATGCTTGGGGAACCTAACAAACCTTGAATCTTTGGACCTTTCTCAAAACAAGCTCTCGGGAGAAATCCCGCAGCAACTAGCACTTCTCACTTTCCTTGAATTTTTAAATGTCTCAAATAACCATCTCACTGGACCCATTCCACATGGGCAGCAATTCAACACATTTGAGAACAATTCCTACGAGGGGAATTCAGGATTGTGTGGAGACCCTTTATCAAGGAAATGTGGAAAGTTAGAGGCACCACCACCATTGAACTCGGAACAAGATAATGATTCAGCGTTCCCAAGTAATGTTGATTGGATTTTCATATGCACGGGATATATGAGTGGGATAGTAGTCGGGATGGTTATTGGGCACACAATAACCACAAGGTATCACGAATGGTTCATCGAGAATTTTGGAAGGAAACAACGCAAGCTGAGAAGGGAGAAAAGGAGGGGACATGGAAATTGAAGTTGATTAGGCATTTGCTTCACCAGTTATTTCCTTTGGGGTACGTTTCTAAACTTATTGAATTATTTATGTATAATGCTTTCATGATATATTTTTGGATGAACTGTGTACTCTAGCTTCTACTTATAGAATCACATAGATCATCTTACCCAAAATTTCCATTCCCATGTATTAAAAGCACTCTCAATCGCATAATCGTGTCTTGAATTTTCCATATTTTGAGATTCTTGACATATCATATGATTGATTGTTCATGAAGTATAGGGATCATGAGATTTTTGGATATAGAGAATCTCTAACTTCATGGCAATACTACTATATGTATTTCGTTTCACATAAACAACAAACAATGTTGGACGGGTTGATCTTATGCGCCCTCCTCCCAAAAAAAAAAAAACACTAAAAGTATGCCATCATTTAAAATATTACATGAATCATGTGAATATAAGGTAGGATTAGAAAAATTCTAGCAAGCATCATATATTTTTTGGGTTGAATTATACTAATGGTTTCTGTAATTTAGGATTTGTGTTACTTTGGTTTATGATTTTTTAATTGTGATACATTTGATTCTTAGTTTTGAATCTCGTTTCAAACAAGAACAATTGAAGATACCGTTTTCTTTGCAAACAAAAAATACTTCATTTCAAAGGCAAATTTGTCAATTTAATAAAATATAAATTAATTTGACAAAAATAAATGTCAAAAAGTCAATTTTGAATTTTTTTTTAAAAAATTTATGCACCAAAGATAAAAATTATATAAAAATAATAAATCTTTTACATTTTTATTTTTTTATTTTTTTACCAAATTAATTTTTAGTATGCATTCGAATAATGATCATGTAATGGGTAATTGTTTTTGTTGATGTTTTTGGATTGTTATCATGTAATAGATGGTTGTTTTGTTGTCAACAAATATTTTTGGATGGTCATAATGTAAGGGAAGGTTATTAAGATTTTAATGTGTAAATCGATATATTTAATATATGAAAGGTTTTTAGTTTTGAATTTTTTTGATTTAATGGATTGGTTTAATAATGACATCTAAGTTGTTGCCATGTTTGACTTTTAAAAAAATAAAAACTTATTTAACGAAAATAAATAAATAAAAATTTAAATCTAAAAAATTATTTCTTCCCTTCCAAAAGATAAAATTATATAAAAATGATGTGCTTTTAATTTTTTTCAGCAATTTAATTTTTAGTTCTTAGAAAATTTTTCTGAAAATAGATTCTGAAAATTAAACTAAACAGAATTTTATAGCCAAGAAAGTGCCAACATTATTCATTTAAAAAAGGCCATTATATTTCAAACAACATACAAGTTAACCAACACAAAATAAATTGTATGCTGACTTTATCCTTAAAATGGACCATTTGCAAAGGAAATATTTTTTATTGTTCTTATTTGAAATAAGATTCAAAATTTAAGGTAAAATATATCACAATTGAAAAGTTAAGAACTAAAGTGGCATAAGTTCCAAACTACAAGAACTGTTACTATAATTCTTCTATTTTTTAAAAAACATTTAGTGTGTTTGGTTTAAGTTTTTTGGATTAAGGTCTCGTTTGGGAACAGGCTAATTTAGTAACTTTTTGGCTAATTGGCTAAAAAGGTAGGTAAAAAAAACTTGTATGTTTGGGATGAGTTTTTGACTAATTACGAAAAGCTGTGCAAAAAGTAGAGAGAAGTCGTAATTGTTGACTTTTTAGTATGAGTAATTGGCTAATTGGCTAATTTAGTAGCTTTTTGGCTAATTGGCTAAAAAGGTAGCATCCCAAACGAGGCCTAAGTTTTCTGAAAACTGAATTTTTTGGCTTTCGTATTTTTTTTTTTATTTTTAGTGAATATTTTTAAAATTTTAAACATTTTTTTTTTAGTTTTTTAGATGCACCTTACTTAGATGTATCTAAAAAGTAAAAAATTTGTGAAAAAATATTTTAAAAAATTAATAAATACATAAAAATACAAAAAAAATGTACTAAATTCTCCTTCTTTTTTTTTTTTTGTATTTTTGGTAATTAGTGAATTTTTAAAAGGTTTTTTTCACAATTTTTTTACTTTTTAGGTATATTTATGTTATGTATGTCTAAAATGTAAAAAAAAATTGCTTAAAATATTAAAAAAAATCAGTAAAAACAAAAAAATACGAAAAATAAGAAAGTAGAATTTTCTAAAAAATATTTTTTAAAAAATAGAACTAAGCAAAGTGATTGTTATTTCTTTTTCTTTTTCATATTCGGAGAGAGATAAAAACATATGACTTGGAGGCTTTTTTGGGACTGAGAGTTAAGCCCTTACAATCCCCATGCCTGTGTTCAAGGGGTGGACACTGACTTGGACAAAATTTAACAAAACCTTTTCCTTTTATTTTATTTGTATTTCCCCTATGTTTTTTTTATGTTACTTGTGTTGTATGAGTGAAGATTGAGGGGTGAGCCCTTCTATCCTTTCTCCTTTAGTGATTTTTTTTTTTTTTTTTTAAAATATCCCTTAATTTGTTTATTCTCTACCATGTTCATGAATTTATTCGTATGTTTTCTATAGGTGTTATTGTGAGACTGTCGAAGAAGGACAACTTCTGTGCATGTCAGAATTTTATGGAGTTGGAATGTTCTTTGTGCTATAATTAGTTTTTTTTATTGTTTTAAGGTTGTGAAATTAGAACTATTTGGACAATATGATGCTTTTGTAATTTGGATTTGAACTTTTAGACAATGTGATGTTTTAAGTAGTAATCAGCTTTTTTGGTTTGCTTTGTTAGGATTCACTTTTTAGAAAATTAAATTTTTTAATTTTTCGTGTTTTTTAAATTTTCACTAATTTTTTTTTAATATTCCAAGCATTTTTTTTTTAATTTTTAGAAACATCTAACATAAATACATTGAAAAAGTATAATATTTGTGGAAAAAAAAATGTTCAAAAAATTCACTAAATTAAAAAAATACGAAAATTCAATATATTTTTCATATTCTTATATATTTATTGATTTTTAAAAATATTTTTTTATAGTATTTTACTTTTTAGATACATCTAAGTAAGATGCATCTAAAAAAATAATAAATAAAAATTGCTTAAAATTTTAAAAATATTCACTAAAAACAACAAAAATACAAAAAATAAAAAACTCAATTTTCAAAAAATTAAATTCAGAAAATTGAAATCAAACATAGTGAATAGTAGTTTGAACTTCCAACCTAAATAATTTGAATTTTTTTTATTTTATTTTATTTTTATTTGTTTTTGGAATACTATGAATACGCTAGTCATTTAAGTTGTGTAATTTTTTTTCCCCTAATAAATATTATATGTTGTGAATTAAAACAAAACTTTGAAGAATGTGACTCCAATAAGGCTTGTCATATTACAAATAATTTGACTATAGCAAGATTTGTTCAAGGTCCAAATTACAGCCCATAACACATTAATACAGTGGGCTGGCCTTACTAACCGACTCCGATATGAAGGTCCAAATTACAGCCCATTCGACTATAGCAAAAAACGATATAGCCCATTCGATATGAAGGTCCAAATTACAGCCCATTCGACTCCGATACAAAGGTCCAAGATTTGTTCAAAGGTCCAAATTACAGCCCATTCGACTACAGCAAGATTTGTTCAAGATTTGAAGAATGTGATTCCGATATGAAGTTTGTTTAGGGTTGGATTTGGGATAACCAAATTAGGCTCAACATGGGGCTACATTTTACTAACCGACTCCTTCAAGTATGCAGCACAAATTTTCTCAAATCAACAAATTTGGGAAGAAAATTAGGAAGTTGGGCTACCAAGTTTTCAACACACTTCTATCCTTGAAAAGTCTCAAACTCCAAATTAAGAATATCAAAATCCATAAGGGAAAAAATGAAAAAAAAATTGCTAAGGATCTACTTAAGAGTACAATTCGAGCAGGTCAAGAGGTTGTCTAAGTTGTACAGAGAGTTGGCCAGACCTGTTCAAGCCTAAATTGTAACCTGAGGTTCTTTGTCAAAGTCCGGCCTGAATTAAACCCATATTGTTAGTCACCCAAATTGTGCATAAATTTTTTTTTTTTTTTTTTTTTTTTTGTATGTGCAGCTAAGTTAATTAATTTGTTCAAATTAGAATTTATTCACATTTTTCTTATAAAATTATTAATAATATCAAAATAAATAATTTATATAATATAAAGAAATCCTGTTATGGTAGTTTTTATAATTTATGAGTGCGAAAAAAAAAAAAAAAGATTTTGTGTTATGTTACTTTTGTATATAATATTTATTCAATATGACCTAACGATCAAAATTACTTTAATATCATTTAATGGTTATAATTCATATGTATATTTAATATTTTTATATATTTATATATATAATTTGGGTTTCGGATTGTTGGGTTGTTTGATGTATTTCCCTAAATTCGTCCAAATTTAATTCGGGCTTATAAATTTTTGTCTAAATCTGTACCAAATTTCAAAATATTTTGCCCAAGGCCCAAAAAGAATTAAACTAAGCTCGGATTGCTCAGGTTGAGTCCGTCCAATTTGCACCCCGAAATCCACCCACAACATAATAAGACCGGGTAGAGGTCTAACTTAGAGTTAACAGAATTCAGGTAAGGCTTTGGCCAATAAACGGGCTGGGGTCTACCATGAGAATTCAACTATTAAAGTACTTGCACATCCAGTTTAGACTATACGTAGGTCCTGTTTGGTACAGCTTAATTTCAGCTTATTTCAGCTTTCAGCTTAATTTAAGTTATTTTGATGTGTTTGGTTTAGCTTAACAATACAGCTTATAGCTTTTTGTAAGTTAGAAATCAACTTATTATTTGAGTGGGCAAGAGAAGCTTAATTTATAAGTCAGAAATTAGCATATGTTCATAGTTATAAGTTATAAGCTGTTAAGGTATAAGGTATAAGTACTTTCCCACAGCTCTACCAAACAGGACTGTAGTTTGTCTTCTTGAAACAAAAGCTAAGGAAAATAAAGTCGAAGAAACTAGAGGAGTGTTGAACCATGATCAATAGTTCTTGATTATTTTAAGATCGGAAACAACCCATCTTCTTAAAAAACCAAACCAAATCCTATCATTCGAACCGGTCCGGACCAATTTACCATTTCCTACAAAAAAAAATTGGTGCCAACAAGTTCCAAACTTTCGCAGGTAAGTTTTGCAACAACGTTGATTTTAATGACTTAACATTTTTTTTTTTTTTGATGACTCAGGTATCCCCACAGCCGAAGCATGGGACTAATCCTAAGGGCCTGAAGTTAACGACCGGGCAAACCTCCAGTGGCCCGCACAGTAACCCGTGAGGAGTGGGATTCGAACTTGGAACCTCCAGGAGGAGCAAACTCCCAACCCCAGGTGTTTTCTTCAAGATAATAAATTCATGCCAAATAAATAAATATCAAGATAATAAATATAATAAATATCATTTTCTAGTAACAACGTTTTCTAGTAATACTGAATATAATAAATATCATTTGTGATTGCATTTCATATATCGGTGATATATCATTGAGTATGTAATTTTCAATATAAAATTTGGTCATCTTCTCATTGCTATTCAACACAAATCACACGTCACCTTCTTTACTTTCTAAATGGTATAAAGATTTCCCCCTTACCCAAGTGAGATCAATGAAAGCTTCCACACACCATTGTGCAAGTGATTCTCACTAGTCTATCATCGTATTAATATATATAGAGAGAGAGAGAGAGAGAAATTCTACTATACACCCTAAAATAAAAAATATACCTACTATATGCATCTTTACCTTCAACTATTAAATTAAAAAATATATATAATAAATTTCAGTCATTGATCAAAGTACTAAAACTAATATGCATTATAATCGAAAATCACTTTAGTCATAATCAAAGAACAGATAATATACAACACTACTTTGGGACAAAATCAAACATCATAGCAGAACATTTATTAGCTCCACCACCACAATAGCTCAAAATTAAACACTGCAATAACTTATAATCACAAGACATGTGTACCTGACATTGCATTCATACTAGCCATGTTTATCAACCCACACAGTACAATTGAGTGAAGTCAAGCTAGTGAAGCACAAGTGAGCGGAAGTCAAGCTAGTGAAAAATGAAATCAATAAAGATGACATACTACATCTACTTCCATTCATAGGGATAATATGCACCTCACATCACCATTTTTTCCACCCCCTAGTTTACATTGTAGAATAGGATTGGTATTTGAACTGATACTACTACATATCAGTGGAAAGTATACAAAATATTAACATATCAGTCCAAATTCACTTTAAAGCCATATATAATGGCGTAATGGGCGGGTCTGGGGTTTGAATGTTTTTAGGATTGGATTTGGGATGGCCAAATTAGTCCCCATACCCAGACCAGGCCAAACCTAGAGTGGCACATATTTCCTAGTTTCCCTCAATCATCATTACATAAATCACACATTTTGTTCTTCTACTTCCTTTTATCATGAATCCCAACCCTCCATTAACTAGCCCAGATCACTTCCTATACCTCTGCTTCTGCTAACTCGGATATCCCCAGACTATATGCAAAAGACTGAACTACTACTTACTAATCGTCGCCTGCTTCCAGAGCATCTCTCTTTTATGTGCATTGTTGCTCCAATTCTGCTACCATATTATCTTTTCCTTATTCAGATCCATGGCTAACAAACACCACACACCTCCCTCCTTATCTTTAGATGATTTAAGTTCCACGCCTCCTACTAGAGAAAAAAATCTCATCTTATTGGAAAGATTATTGTAGACAAGAATCTTCGCAGATTTGGAGTTCAAGATGGTTTATCAAGAGGACTCTGGAGTACAGAAGCTGAATTCTGTATTGCGACTTGGGGGTGAAAATATGTATGCATGCTCTTTCAATAAAGAGGAGGATAGTCAGAGAATTATGGAACAAGTGCCTTGATCAGTTACGGGTGTTATCTCAGGGTGCTTCAAAAGTGGAAGGACTGGACAATGCTCTATAACCCCCTTTTTTGGCATAAATAAGTGGTTTGCCCATAGGTAATCTGACAACTACAAATAGTGTGAAGATTGGACAACTCATTGGAGAGGTTGCACAAGTGGAAATATGATTCTCATGAGAGTTTTATTGATAGAAACTCTTTTTTTTTTCTTTGAGCTTCAACAAAGAATTTTAATAAAAAAGCAAGAAGGAAAGAGGACAAGCAGTATTCAGACAAACAAAAAGATAAAAGTCAAAACAAATAGCACGAAATTCCTAGCACTAGGGATGTTATTGATAGAAACTCTCTCTCTCTCTCTCTCTCTAAGTCATACGGATAATAAATTTAAATGAACCTACCTAAAGGACTCTCACTCACCAGAAAAACCATTGACAACCTATGGCAAGGCTATCAGATTTGTGCTATCTGTGCAGCAGAATTGGCCATGAGAAGTGATAGTTCACAGGGATACTGACCCTAACTACGAGTAAATCCTGGTTGATTTTATGGCTCCCAAAAGAAAAAAAAATATCAATCCAACAAACAAGGAAGCCCTTACCTGGGTCAGGTTTCGCAGGCAAGGCAGGTAATGCAGGAGGAAATTGCAGCAAAATGTGTCAAAATAGTGCACCAAATTAAGCAACAAGTAGTTGACTTGTACCAGATGCTCACATAACACAATCCAAGGTGGTGCAATTTCTCATCAAGAAAAGTTGTGATAGTCTTGAGGCTTAAATGATAGAGGTTGCAACAACAGGTGGTGTTGGTCTTATAGGCATTGGAGGTTGACTTGCA